TACTACTCTTCCATCTAGTATTATATTTCTCTCTCTCTCTTTCTCTCTCTCTCTCTTTCTCTTTCTCTCTATTTGTCTATCTCCTTAAACCCTTTAATTCCAACAAAATTATTACAAATTACAATTTGTCAATTGAAATATTCTCGATTTATTATTTGATAATTAATTTTGAATGATAAATGAGAAGAAACAAATAATTCAATTAGAGTACGAAATAATATCAATCGAGTAGTATAAAAAATTTGTTTTACAATATAAAAATTAATTTTTAAGAAGAAGAAAAAAAAAAGAAAAAGAAAAAAACACTTGGAATTTAATCATTGATTACAAGTTAAAAACAAAATTATTTCATTCATATCTATAATATCGTAATAATTTAAATGAAGTTAATAATAAATCATAGTTATATGATTCTTTGAATCAGATCATTATCAGCTCGTATCTATCTTGTTCGAATTATTTCTTTCGTGATAGTAAAATGACAAATCGAATTATGCGTCAAATATTTACATAAACAAAGTTCTCGATGTATCTACCATCGTCTTAATGCTCAAAAATTAGATCGTTTGTTGTTTTTGGAACGTTGACAGAAAATTTGGTGGGCTTTACTAAACACCATCGTATGTATAATAGTAAAACGTAGTAACTCATTAAATAGTTGAATTTTGATCTTTCTTAAAGAACTAAAGTCAAAATATAATTATTCGCTTTTCTATCAAAGAAATAGCTCTAATGATACAAATTAAATTCGAATTAAATTCTTCCTTCCGTGTAATCGGACGACGTTTAAGAAAACTATATATATATATATATACACCTTTTGATGTTAAACGCGTTTCGTAAAACAATTAAATAACATTGAACTTCTTCGGCTATTTTAAATAAATTCAAAAACGAAAATTGATTTTGTATTTATCTTACTTTATCTTACTCATTCTTTTCTTATTCCTATTGTATCATCCTTATTGTTCGATTTTAAATAACATAAAAACATTAACTTTTTCATAATTTTTATACGACATGTTTTATCGTACTTAATCATTAATATTTACGTTCGTTCGATATCACTTATTATTTTCTAACAAATTCGATACTAAAAGTAGTTCAACAATGACGAAGCAAATACAACGATAAAAAAATAAACACTATACTTTGATTAGATATATATATATATATATATATATATATATATATATATATATATATGTACAATGTTACAGATAGATTACTCTAATTCAATTTTTAATAATTCAATTCATTTTCACTAAATTCCTCGGATAAACATTTGTGAATTTGATTTGACATTTTAAAACGCACGAATATAAATACTCAGTATTAAAATGTTACACACAATGAATTTACAAATATAATTATATCGTAACTATGATCGTACGGTATATCGATTTAATGTGATTTAAGCGTTAAACATAATTCTACAATGGTATTTGTTCGTTCTTTAAAAAAAAAAAAAAAAAAATAAATAAATAAAAACATAAAAAGAAAAAAAAAATAGTCTATCGTTACGTTATATATTTTACTACGTGAAGTTTCTAGGAACTTGTGCAATGAATTCTATTAATAAAACGAAGTATTCGTGTAAACATATCCGAGAAAATAACAATGACATAGACGGTTATACGAATATTATTAAAAATTCTTCTCTCGTTTATTTCTTATAATAACAATAATTATAATTATTTTCACATTTATATGATTTACACATTGCTTATCTCATCATAGAGTAATAAAATAATTTCTTACGTAGTACGTTTAAATGCAATTTTGAAAAAAAAAAAGAAAAAAGAAAAATTCTCTATAAAAAAAATTTGATTATTTACAAAAATTTTGTTTAATTTTAAAATGAAAAAAGAGAACGAAAAAAAGGATAAGCGAGAAAGAGAGAGAAAGAGAGAGAGAGAAAGAAAGGAAGAGAGAAAGGAAGAGGGACAAGAGAGAGAGAGAGAGAGAGAGAGAGAGAGAGAGAGAGAGAGAGAGAGAGAGAGAGAGAGAGAGAGAGAGAGAGAGAGAGAGAGAGGAAGAAAGAGAGACAGAAGCAAAAAACAAAACAAAGAATAGTAACACGTAAAGTCAAAACGAACAAAAATAAAACGACGGAGGTTGTTCTTTCATCGTCTCTTCTTCTTCACGACGATGACAAGATAGCAAGCATGAAAATTTATAACGTTACCTTACCACCGAAGCGATCGTCTCGATTGATCTAAATTTACATGTTATCCGTCCGTACACAAATCTATATATATATATATATATATATATATATTATCACGTTTGGTAGTGCGTCGTTAGATTCGTTCGAAATTAACGAGGCGAATATTAGAGCGGCATTGTTCACAGTCGGATTATTTAGAACGGAACATTCTGTCTAATCTTAAGAATCATGACAACCGTATCACATAATCAAAATGTATTTGAAAATAAAATCCACCAAGAAGAATTACTTCATTCTCTCTTCTATCCCTCCATCCGTTTTATTTTATTTATTCGCTTTATTTTTGTATTGTTTTTTTTTTTTTTTTTTTTATAGGAGAAGAAGGGGAGAAAAAAAACATAGAAGTTAATTATAAATTTTTACGATGTACTAATCAATAATATTTGTACTTCATTATATATATATAATATATCATTGAAATCTAATTCTCTTATTCGCTATTCTAATGTATCTATCACAGGTGTCATCATCTGTTTTTGGCGAGCATTAACAAAGTTGCATTTCTATCGTTAAAAGTACACTTAATGATTCTTGTCGAGAAACTAATGACACCGAGATTTGTCCATTATGATTTTTATTTCGCATTCTTTACTAATCACGAATCTTTTCTTGGCTCCGTATTTTAAGGAAAATTTCAAATTGATCTAACAAAGAATCTTCGTTATATTGAATATTTATATATAATACATTAATGCAACGATCAAAATCATCGATGAAACTTCGTACGAAAAGTTCACTTTTAAATTTAGCCTCTATCTAATCTGTGTATATTGATTCGCTTTAAAAGTGTTCTCGGTATTAGACGAACGAAAAGAAATGTTCGATGAATACAAAAAAAAAAAACTTATATCCGATATACAATATATTCAAGTAATTATCTTGAAAAAAAAAAAAAAAAGAGAAAAAATATATAATTATTTTGAGATCGCACGTTACGAACTTTTTTCTTTAACTAATTCGATAGATCATTATAAAAGGAAAAAAAAAAAAAAGAAAAAAGAAATCGAAATTTTCATCTCACTCGTTATATATCTGCCCGTATAAGATTTATTTTCTCTTATAAAATTTTAACATGAAGGGAACAGAAAAGAATCGAAAAACAAGCCAAACATGGATTATATTTATACACATGTGCAATAAAATGTCATTGTTGACAGTGTATGAAGTAATGAATCTTTGTGATATCTTAAATGCTTCGTTGTTCTTAAGTTACATTAGATTGTTGCTATACACATAAAAAGTTTTAGTATGTATATATGTATACATCTATGCAAATAATTACATATACATGTATGTATATATGTATGTATGTATGTATGTATGTATGTATGTATGTATGTATGTATGTATGTATGTATGTATGTATGTATGTATGTATGTATGTATGTATGTATGTATGTATGTATGTATGTATGTATGTATGCAAATAATTGAGTATGCATGGATATATGTATGTATATATGCAAATAATTATGTATGTATGTATGTATGTATGTATGTATGTATGTATGTATGTATGCAAATAATAATGTATAAATTTATATATGTATTATCTAACGACATTAAGAGTATTACGATCGACGTAGTAACATATAATAATTTATTCAAACGTTTGACATAAAGTATTATTTCATTTGGGTTTATTAATTTACATTGATGTTGGCAAAACCTTCCGATCAATTTGAAAATGGTTGAATTATGACAAATTTCTCAACAAAATTCTTGGCTTTGTTAGCAAATTATTTTGTGATATGAGCCTTGGCCGATCGTACATTATTTTATCTTCCATTCAATTCAATTCAATTCAATTCAATTCAATTCAATTCAATTCAATGTTAAAAATTATAACATTTCACAAAAGTATTTAGCTCTTTTTCTTCTTTTGTTTTTGTATAATCTTGATTATAAAAAAATTCACATTGATATTTACAAAAGCTTCCAATCAATTTGAAAATGATGGAATTATGACAAGTTTCTCAACAAAATTCTTGGCTTTGTTAGCAAATTATTTTGTGATATGAACCTTGGCCGATTGTACATTATTTTATCTTCCATTCAATTCGATTCAATTCAATTCAATTCAATTCAATTCAATGTTAAAAATTATAACATTTCACAAAAGTATTTAGCTTTTTTTCTTCTTTTGTTTTTGTATAATCTTGATTATAAAAAAAAAATTATAGATTATTTTATAAACTGTTTTACTTATATTTGACTTATTATAGAAATAATTATTTATTGTTTCGTATTTATTGAAATATATATATATATATATATATATATATATATGTTTCTACAAAACATATCTCAATATAAATTTTCAATTATTTATTTATATTTCAGCTTTAAATCAATACCATTATTTCTATAATAAATACTTCAATTTATCCATACGTTACATTACTCGCAACGAAATATTTGAGTATTTTGTTCACGATATCGTACCTAATAACAATATATATATATATATATATATATATATATATATATATATATATATATATATCAAATTATCAATGATTGAAAAAAAAAGAGAGAGAAAAAAAAATAAAGTAAACCACAAACGAAACGATTGACTTTTAATAATTGTGAGAAGACATTGAATTTAGAATTAAAAAAAAAAAAAAAATAAGAAAATGAAAAAGAAAAAAATAGTTACTACATATTACGCATACGTATTATTCGTACGTTTATAGATCTCTTCATATATATATATATAATATTTTGTTATTTCCTTTTTTACTTTTTTTTTTTCTTTCTTCTTTTTCAGACGGAACTAAGGCCCTATAAGAGATTTTCCAAGTGTTAATAGCGGATAAACGTTCGAATTTTTCCCGGACATTAAGAAATAATGATACGAGGGCAAGAAAGTCAAGGAATGAACGAGGAGAAGGTGGTGACAGGAAAGTGGTACGAGTAGTGAAAGAGATCATGAATATCTAACGAATTGATAGGCTCTATCTCCTTTCTTTTTTCTCTTTCTTTCATTCTCTCTCTCTCTCTCTCTCTTTCTTTCTCTCTCTCTCTCTCTCTTTCTCTCTCTCTCTCTCTCTCTCTTTCTTTCTCTCTCTCTCTCTCTCTTTCTTTCTTGTTCTTATAGGAAAACGTAGAAAATTGAAGAAGGAGGAAGGAGGACGTGGAAAGGGAAGAAGAAGAAAAAGATTGGATTCTTGAATGGGACACGGAGGCCATTAACGACAAAAAAAAAAGAAAGGAAAAGAGAAGAAAAGTAAAAAGAAAAGTAAAAAGAAAAAAAAAGAATTGTCGATGAAGATCGATGTACAAGTCGATCGATAATAAAGTTCACTTAAAGAATAAACAGAAATAAAGAAAAAAGAGAAAAGAGAACACGTGAAGATAGAAAAAAAAAAATAGAGAGAACGAGAGAGAGACAGAGAGAGAGAGAGAGAGAGAGAGTGAGTGAGAGGGGGGAGGAGGAGTGTAGTGAAGAAGACATATATCAGAAAAAAAAGAAAAAAAGAAAAAGAAAAGAAGAACGAGAAAAATGATATTTCTAATGTTTCCCAACAATACGAATAGATTTTTATTGATTCGCTAGTGTCAGAGACAATGATGAATATTTTTCGAGAGAGGAATTAACGAAAGTCTCGTTTATTCAAAAAAAAAAAAAAAAAAAGAAAAAAAGAAAAAACAGAAAAAATAATCAAACGAAATCTTTTTGAAAATTTAAAACGATAAACCAGCCGTGAATGGATTGTTCAATTCGTCGTCATCGTTGTCCTCGTAGTCTGTCATTTTATTGACAGATTTGAAGGAACAAAAAAAAAGGGGAAAGTGAAAAAGTCTTCTTAAAACTTTTGGAATAGAGTTTAAGCTTCTAAATTGATCGATAAGAGTATAAAAAAGAAATCGATAAGGGAAGCGCGCTCGCTCACTCGCTCGCACGCGCGCCCCCGCGCTCTCTCTCTCTCTCTCTCTCTGCCTCTCTCTCCCCCTCTCTCTCTCTCACTTTTCAGAGATTGGAGAGACAGAGAGAAAGAAAGAAAGAAAGAAGGAGAGAGAGAGGAAAAAAATAAAATAAGAAAGAAAGAAAGAAACAGAAAGAAAGAGAAAGAAAGAAAGAAAGAAAGAAAGAAAGAAAGAAAGAAAGAAAGAATATAGAGTGTAAAAAAGAGAGATGGCGAATCGAATGAAGGCTCTGTATAACCAGGTACGAAAAAACGACAGGAAAATCAATTTCTATGAGTTCATATTTACACGACACCGAATCGATCTCTTTTTATTTATTTCATTTTATTTTATTTTTTTTTCTTTTCCTTTTTTTTTTCTCTCTCACTTTTTCTTCTTATCCTTCTCCAATCGGTCTATATCATCGTCTTCTACGCAGGCCGATATATTTTACATGTGCACGTTCATTGCGAAATTGCCATCAACCGTATATATATGTATATATACCGTACGTTCGCGGTGATTCGACAATTTTTGGGACATTCGATTATGCGACCGGAAATCGCATGCGGCATGCGGGAATTCGATGAAAAGAAAAGAAAAGAAAAAGGCAAATCGGTCGTCAATCGATAAGTCGTATTCTAAACGCACTAAAAGATCATTCGATTGTTTCGCGATGATATAATAAAAGTATAATTGATTCTAATCAATCGATCGATCGTAGTTCAATGGTAGATCAGATAGTAGTTCAAATTCGAATAATAAAAAAAAAAAAAAAGAAAAAAAAAGTAGGAAACGTATGAGAGAAATGTTTTAATCGTGAGAGCATAGGGACGCGAAGGGATGATCATATACGATCAATGAACTAAAAATCAATTAGATGCCGCGATTCGATGAAACTTTTGTCGTGTGAGATTACTTTTATATTCCCCTTTTAAACAATCCTATCCCCTTTCCCATCCATCCATCCTTCCTTTCCCCATCGATGATACATTTTCCGAATGCATCTAGCGTTAGTCTTTCTTTTTAGAATAGTCTCTCGTCGCGTTTTCATAGGTAATATTCGAAAGGCGAATTCTGCTTGGTTGTACAACCCTCGTGGGACTCTCAGCATGCATATGGGCTGTGGCAATAGGAACCGATCATTGGTTCACCGTCGAAGCACCAAATGACGAAGGACTGCCCTTGGGAGATTCTGGAGCGAGCGGTAGAAGACTGATTTACAAGCATATGGGTCTTTGGAGAGGTTGCGTCAGCGGTTTGATACCAAAAATGAAGAATTCGAGCGAATTGGTGCCTTATAGTAAGTGCCATTCCTTTCTTTTTCTTTAATATCACATTTATTTTATGTTTCTTTTCTTTATCTTTTTCTTTTTCTTTTTCTTTTTCTTTTTCTTTTTATTCCTCCATTATCCCTATAACGAAATGAACGATACGACAAAGTCTTTCTTCCTTTTCTCGTTTTCGTTTTGTGTGTTTTCTTTCTTTTTTTTGTTTTTTTTTTCCCCAATAAACACAGAAGCTAATCATCGAGCAGACTTTTCTTTTTTTTTTTCTAAATTAACATTTTACTTATTCGATCATAAAAATCTACAGCATACAATTCCGCCATTTTTGTTATTCCAAGTGTTCTCAGTCTTAACTCAATATTTTTTGAATGTCAAAATATTACAAGTCGATCTTTCATAACAAAGTAGACCGATTTATATCAGGGAGTATGAGGAAATGTAAATACGTCATTATGGAAACCAGGCGAGCCTTTTAAATAAATAATCGAAAAGTAATGTTACTATGATTACGATTCTCCGTATCTTTCTTATTAGAAATCATTTGCACGGCCGTGAATTCTACGCTTCAAAAGTTCAATTAAGAACGTTTCATTTGATATGTTTAAATAATAACGAGTCAACGGAATAATACTAATTGATACGGAAAAACGGCCAAGATAATTGTCCGTAAAATTTCTCTCTATCCTGAACCGTCAAAATAGCCAGCCAGAATTTCTCGACAGCTTGACATTATTATGAAATCATTTGAGCAATAAATGTCATAAGTTTTGAAACGTCGAAAAAATAACAACGGCCATAAACTTGAAATCAGATGTTAATTTGGCTAAATTGATTTCGTTAATGAAAACCATATTAATTCTTCTTCAATTAAAGAAACTTCCCAAAAGTTTCTTCGATCGTAATGAGATCGGTACAATCAAAATTTCAATCATATCTTTCCGACGTTTATCTTGATGGAAAATAAATTTTATTATACGTTGTAAATATGTGCGAAAAGTAGGCGCTTTAAGCGCTTCGGTCTATTTACTTGAATTATAAACTACATCGTGCCAATTCCTATTAAAATTTATACGCAAAATTTCCGACATTAATAATATACGAGTGCTACGTTAATATGAACATTAAACTCAAGGCTTAATAGTAGAGAATTACAAGGATAATTTTATTTCGCTATTATTGCAGCGATTAAAATTTCAAACGTTGCCTGCCAAAATAATATTGCATAAATTAATATAAAGAATGTCTCGTTTTACAATAATATATAATATCCAATCTACGATTCTTATGGGTTTTATAAACAAATGTTTTGCAAATGAAACTTGTTAGATTCTATAGGGAGCAATAGTAATACGTATTAAAGTTATCGTATATAATTTTATTTTCTTATACTTTTTTTTCTTTAATGAAAATCAATACTTCAAGTCCATCGAAAAGTTCCAGAGATAATCGAAAAACGAATACAACGAGTATCTACAATTTAATTCATTCGGATGCAACGAAGTTCAAGAAACTTTGTAATCAATACATATTACATTTCCTTGTCAAAATCTAAAGAACTTTTGTTTGAAACATTCGTTTATAATACCAATAGGATTGGGGATATTGAAAGATTATCGATTGAAATCAGACATCCTGTATATTCGTTTAATACATTTAAGGTCTATTCATAATTTTCAATTCAATCTTCGTTTAATATCCGTTTCGATTGTTCTATGCTACAATAATTTTTTAATAATATTTTATATAATTTAAATATAATATATAGTTTTAAATTTACTCGTTAGTTCGATCGTATATAAAACGTGAAAATCTCGTTAAATCTCGTTTCTTATTTTTTTATAATGACTTTTTTTTTTTTTTTTTTTTTTTTTTTTTTAATGACTTAAACGACAAAATTCTAATCGTTCGTAATATTTCTTTAGACAAAATATAATAACGAATAAACGAATACGAATAAAATTGTTTTATGTCTGATTGTATAATGAAAACGACACGCGTATAAATGTCCGATGAAATAGAATTGTAACTGAAGTCATGAAAACGATAACTTGAACCGAGACTCGACTGAAATATTGCGAATCGATCTTTAATCGGCACTTTTCCTCTTTCTTTTCCCTTTTTTACGTTTATTTTTATCTTTCTTTTTTATTTTTCTTTTTCTTTTTTTTCTTTTTTTTTTTTGTTTCTTTTTTCATTTTTCAAACATAAGATCTAAAGAATTCACACGTTGCCACATCTTTTTATTAAACTTTGCCCTTAACTTAATAATAATTAGAATATTATAAATTTCTTATGAAATTTATTATATTTAATCATTTCATTTGCTCGGACTTGAAGTGTCATAAATTTCATTAAGAAAAACAAAAAAAAAAAGAAAAAAGAGAAGAAGAAAACAAAAAATATTTTAAATACATTTTGAAATCAAAAAATCCGATACAACGCGTCATGATTTGTGATGGAGATAATCCGTTTGTCGAATAAATTCGATCAAAGTTTACATGAAAATTTTGTTTGCATTAATGTTATTTGTCGAGACAAAAAAAAAAAAAGAAAAAGAAAAAAAAAAGAAAAAAAAAAGAAAAAAGATAACGCCGCTCATTTTTTACTGTATCGAAATGTTTTATTAGGGGAGAAAAGAAAAGGAAGAAAAAACAAAAACAAAAAAACAAAAAAAGAAATATTGTATATCGAAGACCGACGAAAGAAAAAATTTCGGATGAACGGGGTTGACGATGAATCGTGGAATTGTCGTCGACATTCGTTTCTTACATTAACGCACGTGCGCTGCTTTCGTTCAGACTTCAGAGACGAGTGTTTCGGCAAAATAAACGAGGAGCCAGAAATAAATGAGAGGAAGGGGAGAGCGGGTTCCGTTTCTCTCTCTCTCTCTCTCTCTCTCTCTCTTCATTTCTCTTTGTCTCTGTCTCTCTTTAGTTCTTACTTAATATTCTTCATCCTTGTTTCATGTGTAGAGCACGCGCACGTGCTAGGTAGAATCGAAAGTTAGAACTGATCAAAACGTGAAAAAAGAAAAAAAAAAAAAAAAAAGAGAAAAAAAAGGAAAAAGAATTAAAATAATACCTTAATACCTGAAATCAAAGTTAGAAATAATGGCGAACGATTGAGTTAAAATTATAGGCCCATTATATTGATTTTTAACGAAGTAGACAGATAGTATACGTATTTTGAATAATGACAAACTTTTTTTCATTTATTTCTCACAAAAAAGATCGATTCAATAAAATGTTTCGAATAATGAAATAAAAAGGAATAAGATGATAGAAAATATTTTTATTAAAGCATATCAGCCCGACTTTACTAACAATAAGATATAAAAAGATAATAATAATAATAATAATAATAGTAATAATAATAATAATAATAATAATAGTAATAATAATAATAATAATAATAAATTCATGAGATGCGAAACTAATGAAAATTCTCCCCTCTTGGAAGGATTAATATTAACCCCATTATAGTCTGACCTTTTTTTCTTTCTCTACTTTTCGAAATAATTATACCACGTAATAAGTTCGGATAGATAATAATTATAATAATTTATTATTTGCAAATATTTAATTAAAATAATACATTAATTCTTTTAATCTATATCACCATGAGATATATTGCAAATTTGTATTATATAAAAAGAGTGCATGCGTCTAATATAATTTTTTATATAAAATATGTGAAATATATTTTAACGAATAATTTTAAAACAAAATATATATGTTCTACCATGGGAACTTTTTATAGGAACGATCAAAGAATTAGTTTTTTCTTTCTTCTATTTTTTTATTTTTGTTTTTTTCTTTTTCCCTTTCCTTTTTTTTTCTATTTATAATATAAAATTCATCAATAAATTTCTTATACCATAGAGTATTTTCTTACTACGATAGAGATTTATTAATAGATCTGGTATTACTATCAATAATATTTATACGATGTCGAGCGAATAATATTGCTTGTTCCTCGTTCGAGTTAGTGTTTTAACTAAGAGTCATCCAATTTATAGCCCCTGATATTTTTCAAATTTCTTTTTTTCTCTTTACGAGTCTCTTCATAGCTTCAATTTTTATATTTCAAATGAATAATATTGTAAAACGTAGCTGTGCAAGACTAGAATCAAGAATTTTTTTCAAATATCATTTGATTTATTATAGTTATAAGTTGACGTGACATTGAAATTACAAAGTCACGTGAAAATGTTATTTTTAAATGAAGAAAGTTATAACGCAGAAATAATTAAAAAAGAAAAGAGTGAAAAAGAGAGAGAGATAAAGAGAGAGAGAGATTGAGAGAGAGAGAGAGAGAGAGAGAGAAAGAGAGAGAAAGAGAAAGATAAAGAGAGACAATTATTGTACGAATCTTTATAATTATTATTATATAAATTTCTTTTATAATTATTATATAAAGTTCTTTTTTCGTAATTTATTGGTTTTAGGTGAATGCAAGTACCAAGAGATGTTCCCGCCTGAATCAAAATTCGATATAGATCCGGGATTAGACAGGACGGTGATCAGTAAGTATATATTTTAATAAGTTATTCAAGAAACTCGAGCAAAAGAGTTTAAAAAAAAAATTTATATATATATATACATATTATATATAAATCGATATTGTAACCAGAACAAAAATATACAGGGATTCTTTGATCATGCGAAATTGGCAACAAAACATTTACATTTAACGAATGGAAGAGTATAATAAATTGTGCATCTTAGTAGTCAAAATTTATTGGCTAATTTACGAAGAAAACGATTTCAAGTTTATAAAAGTTTTACATCGAATTTAAATCTCGATCATAAAAAGCCAATCAAATTTACGAGAAAATTTAAATAACTTTTTTCAATTCTTAATAATATAATTTTATTCCATAAAACATACATATATATATATATATATATATATATATATAGAATATATAGAAAATCTATTATATACTATTTTCGAAAAATTTTAATTATTCGCAAATTTTACTGTATAATGAATGAACGAGTTATACGCATATACGATAAATTTTTCATTTTCTCCCAGATTATGCTAGGACTCAGGTCTCGTTTGCTATTATCAGTATGTTTATAATGATAATGGGATTCTGCTTCTCCATCTACACGTTCCGCAACCCACGCTACATGTTCAAACGGCTAGCCGGAGGAATACATTTCATTAGTGGTAATTAATTTCAAAGTAAACACTGCAAATTACGAATGCAATTATACGTGCATAATTACTATCAGAATGACAATAAATTTTTACGTAATACGTTATCTCACAATGAAAATGAATCTCGATATTTTCCACTTACCTTTTTTTTCTACATAATGTATATACATACATACATACATATATATATATATATATATAAATATATTAATATATATAAATATATATATATACAATATTGTTGTTGTTGTTGTTGTTGTTGTTCATCAATTCATGCTATGCCTAATCATGCTTCATCTATTCTATACCTATTCTATTCATAATCTATTCATGCTCCATCTATTCACACTTGGCCTATTCTTACCAGACCCATTCATACTTAGTCTATTCATGCTTGACCTATTCTTGCTTTACCTATTCGTACTTGACCTATTCTTATTTGACCTACTCAAAAATTGTATATATAAATATATATAAACATATTGTAAGGTAATTAGTTAATTTTAATTAATTCATTCATTATTTAAAAAAAAAAAAACATTGATCTTCATCCTGGCAATATCCTTTTGAAAAAATATTTTGTCTTACGTTTTTCATTTATTAACAATGAAAAATATATAATAATAATAATAATAATAATAATAATAATAATATTTTTTTCTCCCTCAAATATTTTCTCTAATAATTTTTACCAATGTCATCCGAATACTAATAAGATATATGATAAAAATTATTTTTACAGCTGCTTGCAACATGGTGGTAATACAAGTACTCCTTTCTTCGGTCGATTACGAAAGCACAAACGTTTACGAAACGTTCCCTAAGGGTGCGATCATGAGATACGATTTTTCTCTTATCCTGGCATGGATCGTCTTCCTTTGCAACCTAATCGCGGGATGTGCCTTTATGCTTTTCTCAAGGAAAAGGAAGAGGGACAAGGCGCCAACCGAGGAGATCGCTATGGCCGATGAACCAACGATAATCGGTCGTTAGTCCCCTTCATCCTCATACGTATGTATATGGTGTTCGTACATACAGGGTGTTTCATTTAATTCGACCATTAGAAATATCGACTTTCGTTCTCTTCATTTTTCTTGATACGAAAGAAACAATAAAAAAAAAAAAAAAGAAACAAATAATAATTCAACATTTCTTTCTTTCTTTCTTTTTTTTTTTTTTTTTTTTATCTTATTAAGATTAAAATTTTATATTATTTTTGAGATCGATCAAAAAAAATTTTTTTTTTCTTAGCCAATGAAAAAATTTTCTTCTTTCATCGACAGATAATTTTTAACAAATACGAATGACGTTTCATAATACGAGAAAGAGAGAAAGAAAGAGAATAAAAGATTTATACGTTTTATCAGAAATGATTCTTTATAAAAATGATTTTTATCATTATTAATATAATCATTATTATTTTAATACTCTAAACGAATCTTTACGATATCAGAGTAGAATTCAAAAATAATTAAAACTACAAAGAAATCGTTCGTTCATGCGTAATAAAAATAAAATACATCGAAGTTAATGACAATCCTATCGAAAGTTTTCTTAAATAAAATATTTTGTCTTCGCGAACGTTTTTAACATTTTTAAACTCATTCATATTTCCAGAAAGATTTCGAAAGAATGATTTCACAAAAGATGATTTAAAAGAAAGAAGGATTTCGTATAAATCGAAAATTTGAGAAAATAAAAATGAAAAGTGAAATAATAAAAGAACAATTCTTTCCTCTGAAAATCAACATTTCAAATGATTGGTCTAGATGAAACACCCCGTATATATACATATATACATATATATATATATATATATATATATATATATACATATATATACATATATATATATATATATATATATATATATATATATATATATAGCAGCACACAAAGAAAGGGTATAACTACGCTTGCGCGTCTAAGGTTTACTACGTTACATTACGTGCAGAGCAAACGTTTCCAAAAATATCACCCCATTATACTATTTCCCGTCTTCTCCGGTTCTTCGTCTCTCAAAAATAGTTGTCCACCAAAATATGTGTGTTATATATATATATATATATATATATATATATATATATATATATATAAATTCACAAATATAAAAAAAATCTGATTGTAAATCTGTTTATATAATATTAACACTTTTCGAATAATATCGAAATTAATAGAAAAACAAAAAAAAAAAAAAGAAAAAAGCAAAACGATTCACGTTGATCGTAATTATTTAACTTAATACAATATAAATAATATCATATTAATATTATCTTCGTTCTATACAACAATTTTTCATCGTAAATAACACGATGATATGTATTTAATTTCTGACAAATTATACATTGTCTTTAATATAATTATATATTGCGTTGATAAATATTATAAACGTAATAGAATTATTTCGTCGAAATTTCGTAATTAAATTTTCACGAAGTCAATATTTCATTGATGATCGTGAAAACAATGTCGTTTCAATATTATCACGTATATATGAAATATCTGTAAATAGATATCTATATTGTATACGTATATTTGCTTTATCGTTATAAGAATGTACGAAAAGTACAATATTCAAAAAATGTATATTAAATCGCGAAAAGCGTGAGTTTAAATAATTTATGTATATCTCTTTTCTCGTATGCTCGTTAAATGTATTTGTTCGTATGATTATTAAAAAGAATGAAAGAGAAAAATAGAGAGAGAGAGAGAGAGAGAGAGAGAGAAAGAGAGAGGGTGCATGTTGCAAATTTGAGAGTGGCGTGTAAGAATTCGAAAACCGATCAATGTCTCAAACATATCTCAAATTAATACCTCATAATGATAATATCATAAATTAAGAAATACCTATATCAATATTTAACAAACACAAAAATATTAATTGGAATAACAATTGGAACGTTTATACTATTGGTATATATATATATAAATTCTCTTTTATACTTTATATAGAAATAAACAGAATCATTTTATAATCTCAGACGGTAATATTATCTCTGTCCATGATAAGAATTTTAAATCAAACGTGAACACGTTTATAAATATATTATTAATCATGCGATATATTTATAAATATAAACAAAAAGAATTGATGATTAAATCGTGTAGATGGAAAAAAAAATAAATAAATAAATAAAAATAACAAAAACTAAAAGAAAGAAGAAGTGTACAAAAATTAACGAAAGACTCAATACTTGAAGATCTAATCGTAATGCATGTCACTTAATTAATTTATCGATAAATTTCTTTTAATTATCTTTCGAAGTATTTTGATTGTTTAAATTATTTCTTTTTTCTTATTCTTTATTTTTTTTATTTCTTTTTCCTTTTTTTGTTTTTTTTTTGTTTTTTTTTTTCATTAAACGCTTCATGTAATTTTAATTAGCTCTTACTGACATATATACATATATATAATCGTCATAAATATCAGCAATACAGGTGTACCTACTTACCTGCATAATTAAAATTCAATAAAACCAAGTTTTCGACTTTATTTACGATTTATTATATATTTTATAGAATTGATTTCTTTGTTTTTTTTTTTTTCTATATACAGATGGATCGAGGTGATTCGCTAAATCTATTTAAAAATAATTCTCGATATAATGATAATATGATAATGAGAATGTAATAGTGACTATTAACAAATAATAAAAATTTTTGAACGAATAAAAATATATATATATATATATATAAATATATATTTTTTTTAATTTATTATTTGTTAATTAAATTGCCTGTAACTTTTCGTGTTTAAATCTATTAAAAATAAAAAGAAAAAACAAACCATGTTTAGAGTAAAATTTATTCTAAATGATTAAATTATATTTTATTTTCATACGTTAATTAATGTCTAATCGCATTTTTCAATCTTTGAAAAAAAAAAAAATACAAAGAAAAAAAATCTAATAAATTTATTTCACATTCAATAAGAAGAAATTCTTTTGAATCATTGACATCGGAGAATTAACGAATCACCCTGTATATACATGAGTTATTCATTTTCGTATGTTGTACTAGCATACATCCTTGACACCCCCTTAATCGATACACTGCCTCTCCATCACAAATGTCGTGAACGTTTGACGGGGGAAAAAAAAAAAAGGACGAATAAGTATTTGACTTGAGCCAAGAAAATATTTCGTAAAAAGAAAATGAAATTTTATTTATTTTTCTATACGAGGCGAAATAATGCGCGAGAAAGGGGATGTATAATGTGTAAAAAAAAAAAAAAAAAAACAAAAAAAGAAAAAAATAAGGAAAAAAAAGGAAGAAGAAGAAAGAAAAAAAAAGAGATAGAAAAGAAAAAAGAATATATGTTCCATTAGAAATTGAACTAATGTCTTCCTTAAAGATTTCAATTTTGCTATGATGGACATCTGTACGTATCTGTATAATAAAAATAAAAATAAAAATAAAAAAAAGAAAGAAAGAACAAAAGAGAATGAAAAAAAAAAATAGACTAACAATGCTTACAGAATCATCATATTTTCACAATTCGTTTTTATTAATAAAAATAAAAATATTTTCTTTGAAGAAAATTTAAGAGATAAATCTATAAACAGATGATCGGTTTGCGATTGAATTGTTTACGAAGAATGTTTGATGGTTGAAAGTTCCTTCGTTCGTTCGTTCGTTCGTTCGTTTGTTTCTTAATGAAAATTTTAAATGACTGTTCTTACATGAAAAAGACATTTACTCCTCGTGTATATATAAATATAAATGTAATCGCACATCTTCTCTTTCGAGAACGATTCAAAATAAATTAATGTTTACGTGTATAAAGAAAATTTGTTTCTTCTTTTAATCTTCCTTATTTATTATTTCATTTCAACAATTTGGAGATAATATGATCAAACAGAATAATTCAACTTCGTTTTGACGGACCTTTATTGTATAAACG